TTCAGAATTTGGTTCGCCAATCTGCTGAGCCGCGCCACGGACATGCAGTGTATAAATCCAGCACTACCCCAGTCTCACTGACTGTCACGTGCTCTATCAATCATCGCGGCAGCCTTGCACCTCACCTAGAAACAGCCAAAGGTTGTACGTGTGTCCTATACCGCATATACGTACTCCACAGTACGTACATAGAACAAAGACTGATTCGTCCACTACGATCCCGTCGAGCTCCCAGCAGGCCCGCGCAACGGCAATACCCTTTTTTCACCTGTACGTGCATTGTCCCCCTCCTTACGCGCTGCATGTGAAACGCCGAGAAACACAGAAGAGCAATTCCCAGTCTCCAGGCTTTCCCTGGCCTCAGTCTACGTACGCTGGAATTGCCGTGGCAGAGTCTGGTTTGGACCCGACATCATATATAATACTGCCGCCCTTGCCGAAACATGATCCAGCGAATTTACTTCGCTGTGGTGGGATACCCTAGGAACAGTGACAGCCAAAGTAAGCCTCACTGCCTGTCACGTGGACGAGCATTGGTTGCATCACGGTAAACTTCCACATCCCTCTCCAGCAAGCTTATGGCGCTGGTGCATACACTCCCATCAGCACAAACAACTAACAATGCGGGGTGAAGGGCCAAAATTTTGCGTCTGCGGAAAACCGTAGGTGATGAATGTGGTGTCCTGCCCTTTGCCAGATTCAGCGATCGCGTAGTGTGCAAATGCAGCGCAAACACTTGTGCAAGCGCAACACGGTAAAATATGCGTCCCTCAGCACAATGCTACCAAACACTAGTCTCACTGTCTGTAACGTTATCGATCATTGTTTACAACGCTGTAACCCTGCACCTCACCAGCCAACAAGCAAATGGTATACCTGCAGGCTATGTCGCTAATATATACACAGAATCATGCTGCGGAAACGAGTATACCCCTGTTTGTGTGTGTGTGTGGACTGCCACGCTCCTTACTCTCTGCATTCACAACACCGAGAAACACAGAAGAGCCATCCCCACTCTTCAGGCTCTCAGCCGAACTCTCCCTAGGCACTCGGGCTGTAGCAGGAAAACGTCCAATTGTGCGTCGCTGCAGAGGCGTAGGCTTTCAATGCTGTGGCAAGAAGATATGGTGTGTCGGACTCCACGAGAAACTTGGCCGCAGCATGATTGTAGTGCGCATGCACGAAAATACGCAGCAAAGAGCACGGCTGGTCATATCAAACTGTCTTTGCTAATGCAAGCAACATTTGCTGCTGCAGTACCCAGATGTAGCCTTGCCGCCAAGCTAGTCATCACCGGAGACGTATCCCGAGGGTCCCACAAAAGAGAAAGCTGCATTTAGAGAAGAGCGCCAACAGCCACTTCGGCCTCACGCAGCGTTGTTCAATACTGAAGGATCCCAGTTGCGTCATACTAAAACCATAAAAACGAGTGATCGCAGCTATACGAATTCAGGCTGAGTAGGCAATCACCACGAAAGGGCAACGCACGATCTGCGCCGCTCCACACACACCCAAGTACAGTGAACAGATTGCAAAGGCTCGCCCGTAGCAATCCGCCTACAGCCGAATCCTCATGCTGACAGAAGGCGTTTCGAAATGCCCGTCCACTGCAGCAAACAACATAACGTTGGTGCGATTATGGGGTTGTATGCCTGCCGTACTCTCTGAATGCACCATCGGCGGAACCGTTTTACCGCGGAAGGCTGAAGCCCGTGGAAGGTTCCCTTTCCACTGTCAACAGCTTGGCACGAAAACGCAAAGCATCGGTTCATCGCTGGATGCATTAACCTCTTGTCATCAGAAAGGAGCCAGAGGTTCGCTTGCAGATTTAGAGTCCGATTTTAGTTTGCGGAGCAACAAATAGGCGAAACCACCTACAGCGGAAGCCTGTAGGGGTTCGATAGCAAACTGGATGGCTATGAGAGCCAAGGGCAGTGCAAACAGTCAAATGCAGTTTAACCATAAACAGTGCTGCAGAGGCTCCTCTGTGCACCTGCCGCAGCATGGAAAGCATATCTTTGGCCTGCCAAGCACAGCTGGCCCTCCCGTTGCCTGCGTTAAGCGCACACCATCAGCACGAAATATACCCATGTTCGCATAAATTCATTCCGTCGATAGTTGATATGGCAATACGCAGTCCGACAGATTGATCCACCGCCATCCCGTTGTGATTGCAGATTCACCGTGCGAGGGCTTTTACACACTAACAGCACGTCCGCAATTCGTACTGGCTGCACGCACAACGGCGAGAAACAGATCAGCCACTACCACTTTTCACGGTCATCCCAGGCCTCCGCCTACAAGCGCACGCTTTACCCCATCGCATTCGACTGTCTTGCTCATGGCGCACTTTGGAAAAGGTGATGCAGGACTACCCTGTGGATGTGTACAAGGAAACCGCGCAGAGGCGCCCATTCCCTCGGTCAGCAGGAGAAGAACACTTACGTGCTGCTTCGGGAAGTGCACAAATAAGTACAAGCATGCCTATTCTGACCAAGAGACAACTAAGGTCCATCATCATTATCACCCTAAAACCAAGTGCAAGCATAGTTACTTCGACGAAGAAATTGCAACAAATCACAGAGCTAAGACGATACACCTTTCGCCGTACTAACTGGATCCGCAACGCCCAGAGCCACAGACGAGAAGGACTCCACTATCCATCCACTAGAGGAACCTGGTCGGTTCATTGGGGAGACAATTCCGTGCTCATCACCATTACCGCCATGCATGGCTATTGCGACGAAGACATCGCAAAGGTTCACACCGCTAAAGGGATAAACCTGTCTACGTACTGCCTGGATGTGCAACTCCAAGATCCACAGACGAGAAAGGACTGCACTATCCATCAACTAGACAGGCACATGCGCGCTGCCACCTGTAGCCTTCCGCAAATGAACCGTATTGCATTGCGTTGCTCACAACAGCTGAATGTACAATACATTCGTCAAGAACCACGAAGGAACCAAAGAGTCGCTGGGCGGTTCATTGGGGAGACAATTCCGTGTTAATCACCATTACCGCCCTAACGCCATAGACAAGCATGGCTTTTGCGACGAAGGCATCACAAAGGTTCATTCCGTTACATTGATACATCTATCGGCTTACTCCCTGGATGCACAACTTCAAGAGCCACATACGAGAACTCCACTCTCCGTGATCAGATGGCAGCGAGCATATGCCAGCGCAGCATAGGTTAAATCATGGAGAAGCTGAGCGCTTCGTCTAGCACGTGAACCTTTTTGATGTCGTCGTCTCAATAGCAACGCTATTGCGATGACGTTGCCACGCTTGTACTTGAGTTTAGGGCGCTCCCGTTGCAGTTATACCTCTCTCTGCTTACAGCCTGGATGCGCAACTCCAAGATAAACGGACGAGACAGAAATCGCTCTCCATGCTCCACGCTTTGCTTCGCCGGCACATGCGCACTGCCATCTGTAGCCTACCACAAATGAACCTCATTGCATTGCGTTGCTCACGAATGTTGAGTGAATATGCAATATATTCGTTAAAGACCTAGATATCACACCGCAGAAGCACATCGATTCGCTTTGCAGACAATTCCGTGCTCATCATCATTACCGCCCTCCACCCATGAACAAGCATGGCTATTCCTACGAAGACATCGCAAGCGTTCACACTGTTGAAATGAAACACCTATCAGCGTACTTCCTGGACGGGGAACGTCATGGTTCACAGACGGAAGGGCTCCACTCTATACCCACTTGAGTAACCTGCGCAGGCACATGCACATTGCCATCTGTAGCCTTCCGCAGATGAACAGCATTCCATTGCAGTGCTCACGATTGCTGAATACGTAACCCATTAAAGGACCTAGACGGACCCATGCCGAATGTGAGAGGTTCCTTGAGCAGACGATTGCGTGTTTTTCACGTTGCCATGGAACATCTATCGCCTTACTGCCTGCATCTGCAAGTCCAAGACCAACACATGAGAAGGCGTCCAGCATGCGTGTACCAGAGTACGCTGTGCCGGCACATGCGCATTGCCATCTGTACCCCTCCACAAATGAGCCGCATTCCATTGCAGTGCACGCGCGAGTGCTAAATATATAATACATTCGTCAAGAACCTAGAAGGGAGCTTGCATAAGGTGAGAGGTTCACTGAGCAGACAATTCCGTGCTCATCACTGTTATCGCCCTAAACCCATGAACAAGCGTGGCTACTTAGAAGACGACATCCCAAAGGGGCAATGCGTTGCAAAGGAAAAATTTATTGGCTTACTTTCTGGATGCGCAACTCCACGATACACAGACGACAAAGAATCCACTCTCCATGCTCTAGCCTACGCTGTGCCGGCACATGCACACTGCCATCTGTAGCCTTCCGCAAATGAACCGCATTCCATGGCAGTGCTCACGATTGCTGAACACGTCATACATTCGTCAAGGGCCTAAACGGGACCACGGAGAAGATCAGCGTCTCATTTAGCAGACAAATCCGTGCTCTTCACCATTACCGCCCTAAAGCCAGGTACAATGGTGGCTACTGCAACGAAGATATCACCAATGTTCACATCATTAACATAATACACCTATCAACGTACTGCCTGGAGGCGCAACGGCAAGAGCAAGACAGACGAGGAAGACTGCACTCTCCATGTTCTAGCCTGTGCTGCGGCGGCACATGCAGACTGCCATCTGTAGCATTCCGCAAAAGAACAGCATTCCATTGCAGTGCTCGCCATTGGTGAATATGTAATATATTTGTCAAGGGCCTAGGCGGGGCATGTAGTACATTTGTCAAGGGCCTAGTAGTAGGCCTAGTAATGGCTTTAGGGCGGTAATAGTGATTGCATGGAATTTTCGGCTAAATGAAGCGCTCACCTACATGCCCATTCGAGGCCCTTGACAAATATAAGAACAACTGTGGCTTTTGCGACGAAGGCACGATCCATCGCAATGATATATCTACCATCTTACTGCCTGGAGGCGCGACTCCAAGAGCCACAGACGAGCAAGACTCCACTCTCCATGCTCTAGCCTATGCTGCGCCGGCACATGCGCACTGCCATCTGCAGCATTCCGCAAACGAAATGCACTCCATACAGTGCTCACAATTGCAGAACATCCATTCCAATCTTCAAGCACCTAGCTAGGGCCACGCTGAAGGCGAAAGGTTCATTGAGCAACAAATTCCGCTCCCATTACGTTGCACTGATACGTATACCCTCTTACTGCCTGGAAGAGCAGCTCCAACCTCCACAGACGGGAAGCACTCCACTCTCCATCCACTAGAGTAAGCTGCGCTGGCACATCCACATTGCTATCGGTAGGCTTCTGCAAAGGTATTCCACTGCAGTGCACGCGGTTGCTAAATATATAATACATTCGTAAAGGAACTAGCACGGACAGCTAGGCAGTTCATTGGGCAAACAATCCCATACCTATCATCATTATCGCCCTCAATCCAAGACGGCAAATGGCTATTGCGACGAAGCCATCACGATGGGTCACTCAGTTGCAATGATCCATCTATCCCCTTACTTCCTGGAGGCGCAGCTCCAAGATATACAGACAAGAGAGGCTCCACTCTCCATTCTCTGGCGTATGCTGCGCCGCCACATGCCCACTTCCATCCGCAGCCTCTACAAATGAACCGCATTCCACCGCAGTGCTAACGATTGCTGAATATGTAATACATTCGTCAAGGACCCAAAGGTGACCACGCAGAAGCTGAGCGCTTCATTAAGCAGAAAATTCCGTGTTCATCATCATGACCGCCAGGTACAAAGGGTCGCTACTGCGACGACTACATCGCAATGCTTCACTTTGTCAATAGCATATACCTATCGACGTACTCCCTGGATGCGCAACTCCAAGAGCCACAGATGCTGCGCCGGCTCATGCGCACTGTCCTACGCAGCCTCCACCAATGCAACGCAGTGCTCACAATTGCTCAATATGGAATCCATTCGCGAAGGAACAAGATATGACCACGCACTATCTGGGCGATGATTTGGGCAGATGATTTGGTGCTCATTATTACCGCTATAAAGCCAAGTAGAAAGGTGGCAATTGAAACGACGGTATCGCAAAAGTTCATTCCGTTACAATGATCAATGCATCTGTTTTCGTACTGGCTGGATGTCCAACTCCAAGAGCCACAGACGAGAAGGATTCCACTCTCCATCGACTAGAGTAGGCTGCCACGGCATATGCGCATTGCCATCTGTAGCCTTGCACAAATGAACCGCACTCAATTGCAGTGCTCGCAAAAGCTGAATATGCAATACATACTGTGATCATCACCGTTATCGCCCTAAACCCAAGAAAAAGCGTCGCTATGAAGACAATGACATCACAAACGTTCATTCCGTTACAACAATACACCTATCGGCTTACTCCCTGGATGCGCAACTCCAAGAGCCACAGACGAGAAGGAATCCACTTCCCACCCGCTAGAGTAGGCTGCGTTGGCATATGCGCACTGCCGTCTGTAGCCTTGCCTAGCTGACTATGTAATCCATTCGTCAATAACCTAGCAGGGACAACGAGGAAGTTGAGCACTCCATTTAGCCGACAATTCGGTGGTTATCACGTTGCCATGATATATCTGTCGCCGTACTGCCTATATGCGCAATTCCAAGAGCCACAGACAGGACGGACTCCGCTCTCCATCCACAACAGTAAGCTGCGCCGGAACACGCGCATTGCCCTCCACAGCCTCCACAAATGAACCGCATTCCATTGCAGTGCTCACGATTGCTGAGTATGTAATATAGTCGTCAAGGTCCTAGAGGGGACCAAGCAGAAGGTGTGCGCTTCATGTAGCAGACAATTCGGTGCTCGTCATCATTACCGCCCTAAAGCCACGTACATGCGTGGTTATACCGACGCAGACATCACAAAGGTTCATTCCGTTGCAAAGATGCATCTATCCCCTTACCGCCTGGAGGCGCAACTCCAACAGCTACAGAGGAATCGGGCTTCACTCTCCATGCTCTAGCCTATGCTGGGCCGGCACACTCGCACAGTTCTCCACAGCCTCCACAAATGAAACGCATTCCATGGCAGTGCTCAAGATTGCTGAACATGTAATACATTTGTCCCGGGACCACGTATACGGTCAGCTTCTCACTTAGCAGACAACTGCGTGCTCATCACCATTACCGCCCTAAAGCCATGTACAAGGGTGGCTACTGCGACACAGGCATCACAAAGCTTCACATCATAATACACCTATCAACGTACTCCCTGGATGCGCAACTCGAACCACCAGAGACAAGAGTGGACTCCACTCTCCATGCTCTAGCATGTGCTACGCCGGCATCTGCGCATTGCCATCTGTAGCCTTACGCAATGAACAGCATTTCGTTGCAGTGCTCACGATTGCTGAATATCCAATACATTCCTAAAGGACCTAGAAGGGAACACGCACAACCTGAGCGATTTATTGGGAAGATAATTCCGTGCGCATCACGACTACTGCCCTAACGCCAAGTACAAAGGTGGCTATTGCGACGAAGACATCACAAAGGTCCATTCCGCTGCAATGATACATCAGTTTGCGTACTGCCTGGATGCGCAACTCCAAGAACCACAAACGCGAAATACTCCACACTCCGTCTACTAGAGTAAGCTGCGCCGGCACATGCGCACTGCCATCTGTAGACTTCTGCAAATGAACCGTATTCCATTGCAGTTTCCACGATAGCTGAATATGCAATCTGTTCGTAAAGGACAGAGGGGAACACGCGGGAAAACTGCTCTTCTGAATGGATGCCACCAAACCCAGTTTCTCTTTGGCACTCGAGTGGCAGAACAGCTAGAGGCAAACATGCATATATACATTGAAATAGCCATCTCGGAAGCTATATTTTCCACATTCTTGTTATTCCCCCATCTAGCCTTTCTAGCGACTGTATCGTTGTACATATAGCACTGTGACTGCTCCATACAGCCTGTGTGCAGGGCGTTGAAAGGTGCAAACGAGATGGACTCCTGTACTAGACATCGAACTGCCCAGCGAAGACAGACCGGCATGTCGTGAACATGTCAACGCAGGACGGTGTTGAGGTGCACTCTCGCAGGCAAATGGTTGGAAACCTGGTGGTGGATGCGCAATTCTGCACCTCAGCACTTGTGTTCGAACTATCCGATATCCGCATTTTGCCTTATAGGCCTCTTTGCCAGTGGGTGCTTGGGCACGTGCAGGCAAATGAAGCTGAGAGAACTTGGGTGACGTCGCCAAAATGCGATTCATATAGATGGAGAGCGCACACGACGAATTCGTACAGCAATGCCTAATGCCAGGCTCACGTTCTGTTGTTGTGTAGTGGCAGAACAGCTAAGGGCAAACATGCATACATACATTGGAATAGCCATCTCGGAAGCTATATTTTCCACATTCTAGTTATTCCCGCTTTTCGTATTTCCTGGGACTGTATCTTTGTGCATATAGCATTGTGACTGCTCCATACAGCCTGTGTGCAGGGCGTTGAAAGGTGCAAACGAGATGGATTCTTGTACTAGACATTGAACTGCCCTGCGAAGACAGACCGGCATGCCGTGAACATGTCAATGCAGGACGGTGTTGAGGTGCACTCTCGCAAGCAAATGGCTGGACCCCCAGTAGTTCCTGTGCAATTCTGCACTTCAGCACTTGTGTGCGAACTTTCCTATATCCGCATTTTGGTTTATTGGCCTCCTGGCCACGGGTATAGTGCAGTGGGTGCTTGGGCAAGTGCAGGCAAATGAAGCTGAGAGAACTCGGCTGACGTCGCCAAAATGCGATTCATATCGATGGAGAGCGCACAAGTCGAATTCGTACAGCCATGCCTAATGCCAGGCTCACATCCTGTTACGCGCTCGGACATCAGTGGTCTTATGGGGATATCGGACACTACCGCTTAAGCGATTGCCTAAGCGGCAGTGAAGAGCTGTCATTCGTCTGCAGTGATGTCTGCACCGCAGAACAAGGTGCACCCAAGAACGTTGAGCACGCCTATTAAACCGAATGGTCCCCAGGTCAGAGACAATGCTAGTTGATGTTGAAGCGCACTCTCGCAAGCAAGTGGCTTGATGCGTGGTGATGGCTGTGCAATCTTGCACTTCTGCGCTTGTGCTCGAAATGCCTGATATCCGCATTTTGACCTATTGGCCTTTTGCCTGTGGGAAATGGAGCACGTACAGCGCCCGAAGAACTTGGGTGAGCTCGACCGAAGGCGCTTCATATCAATGGAGACCAGACATGTCATATTCGTACAACCATGCTTAATGCCAGCCTCACGGTCTAGTAGGCGCTCGAACATGGGTGGACTTATGCGGGTGTCGGACCCCGTCCCTTAACAGCCTATGCGCTTGCCTAAGCGAGAGTGAAGAGCGGTCACTCGTCTTCAGTAATGTCTGCGCCGCAAAATAAATTGCACGGAACCACCTTTAGGACGCCTGTTGAACCTCATACGGAGTGAATTGGCACCAGGTCAAAGTAACGCACCAACTGATCCTCGCAATGCCACTGCAGAAACTCTACCCACTGGGACGACGACGAAGGCGGTTGCAAACAGTTTTTTGTAATGCCAGTTACCTGGCACTGGCAAATTCCGCCTTCGGTATTGTCCCAGTCGGTTCTGTTTTTCCGAAACAAAACAGTTTGGATATATCAGAGTGCAACGGGCAAATTACTGTTGGCGCCGAAACGTCAATGTAAGGCTCCCGTACAGCCTGAATACACATCAGGACCAAGATACAGAGCACACCGCACTAGGAGTGCAATCCATTTGGGATATTGGAACATTCCCGCCGACAGTGTATTGCGAGATAACTCCTATCGCCGAATCGTCCAGCAGCTTCACGATGACGCGTGCTCAAGGGCCTAAACCCCGCAGTGCCCGCTTCAATTGCTAAATCCGCGAATGCAGCAGATACAAGCTGCATACTAGGATGGCTGTCGCCGACTTAGGTTGTTGCTTTTTGTTTAGGGAGACCCATTCGAAAGGCCAGTCGGAAGCGACCCCTGTTGTCCTCTGCCGCTGCTGACGGCATGCACAAACGACCCCATCGTCAGTAGCCATTGAAAAATGCCGGTTGAGCTTAACTATTACTACCCATCGGCCGCGCTCCACATAGCCATCGAAAGTACGAATAGCCCCACAACTGGGTTGTGCACGGGTCGTTTTGCCACCGCTTCACAACGTCGAATTCGGCCCTCTCGTACGGTCTAAATGACGCAAGCCGAGATGTGCCCAATCTCTCGCCAATCGGCTTGGTTGTCCCCAAGGGGTGCCTAAATCGATTTGCCAGTGCTAATGCCATCAGCCAAAATGTGCGGTCTCTGTAGTTTTTATATACCTATGTCTATGTCTACGACTATGTCCAAACTCAATTCAAGCACCACCGTGCACGCCATCCAACTGATGCCCGGAATCAACTTGGGGGACAATCGCTTATTGAGCCGCGCATCTGCGACCAATTCCAATGATTTGCGTTTGGACACGCATGAGCTGCTCAAGCAGCGATTGCCATGCAAATTGATTTCGGACAGTCAGTTTGAAGGAATCCCATGCCGGGTAATTACATCCCTACAAAGATGACGAACGCCAGTCTCACCACGTCTAGCAAAGTGGCCTTGCCGCAAAGTCCCACAAGCTCAGTGCACCTATGGCTTAGACATACGACTAAGCTTGCAGTGCACCTATGGCTTAGGCATACGACTGTAGTGCCTAGACTGTCTGAAACGACGGGCGTTTCCGCCGTGCCAGCATCCAACAGCAGTAGGGCTGTACGAGTGTATCCCGTGTTGCGGGTAGTCACGCAATGGGACATACTAACTGTTCCCAAAGTAAAGAAGAATGAATGTCCCGATTAGGACAGAGACGCCCCTCACCTTCACGACGACACCTCTTCGGGGAACGCCGAACAGGCGGTGCCCAACATATTTCCCCTGCGACAATAGCTATTTGGGAAAAGGAGAGCAGTCACTGCTACTCAGATAATGTATTACATGTCACATTGAAAACCAGATGGAGTGGACACCGACAGCTCTGTATACAGCAGCACGAATACGCACACATCACGTGTGTTCGAGAATGCCGTAGCTTATGCCAGGCGAGCCGCTATCCAATGCGGTGGTCAGAGTTGTATAAGACCGTCCCTTACTGCCTATGTGGACATCGTAGAGAACGACTGATGGCACGAGCACATTACCGCCAATCTTCCTGCCGTTCATTCCGTACCAGACACTTCGACGACGCTATCCTATGTGCTGCGGAAGACGATTGTTGGATTTTTCCTGACTTACCAAGCCTAACCAGCGTTATCGCCGAATTGGCGAGGCAGACTGAGCAAGCATTTTGCCTTTTTCCAGTATTAATGGTAGAGTACATGTGCATCCTATAGTCGCCAGCTTGGATATACGCAATGCCTCAGCAACACTTACACCGACGGTTCTGTGCCTACACTGGAGTCCTCCGCCGTGCGTA